TCAATTATTAAATTAAATAATATTTAAAATAAGAAACATAGTTGAATATTCTTCAAATTTATTGGTAAAAAAACTATATACAAATTATTTTAATTTAATCAAATAATTAGAATTCAATAAAATGTTTTTTTAACAAAATATATTCCAGAATGACTAATGATATGCCAAAATAACGGAAAATCAAGAACATTTTATATTAAAAAAAATACGAATAAATTAAAAAATAAATATAAAAAAATGCCGTTAAACAAATTCAATTCAACATAATTGTGTAGGTATAATACAATACAAACATATATTAAATTATGTTACCTATATATATATAGATATATAGATACGTAGGTAACACATACAAATATATTTAAAATATTCCACGAATTGAAATTAACAATTGAGTAAGTGCTTATAGAATTTACTAATATAATTTAACGAATGGGTAGTTTTTATTTAAAAGAAAAATTAAAATATTTTCTTTTAAAAATTCAAATAATATTTAAAAATAATTTCTAATTTATTATTATTATATTATTAAAATATAATTTTAAAATAATTATGAGATGATTTGTTACACGAGATTCAAATGAAACAATGAAAAAATATTTTTCTCTTATATTTTCATTTTTTATTTAATATTCAATATTGCTTCTCGTTTTTATATAGAATTCTTTTAGAAATTAAGAAAAAATATGAAAAAATAAATGAAAAAATTACTATTTAATTTTAAAAACGTGCAGCGCATTTATTTTAATAATTGATAAGAGCGGAGTAAAACGCAAACGTTTCCTTTCCATTAAAAAAAAAAATTAATAAATAGTTTAAGAAACTTGATGCACAATAATTATTTACTCATATATATATATACGTATATGCAATACGTGTGTGCATAAGTAGAAGAAATAAATAATTAAATAGAAAAATAATTATTGCGATAATGCAAATCAACAATGATGAATGAGTTCGATTATTCGCTTTACTGTAATGATAATATGATTATGGTGCTTTTAACCGCCATAGTTTAGTTTTTTTTTAATTTTCTAAATCAGCTAAAAATTAAAAATTGTTGTTTAATTATTTATTTTCTTAAATAATTGATATTCCTCGCTGTTTTTAAATATAATAATAATTTTTAAAAATTATTTTATTTATTTTACATTGTCAAATCCTTTTTGTATTCAGAGTTATGCTATTTGTTATATTTCGTATTTAATTTGTTAAAACACTACGTATAGGGCATAGTTTCAGGTATATGTTCTTATTTAACTCTTAAAGTTTCAATACCGCCTTTCTTAATTGAGTTTAGCAGTTTTTTTAAATGCTATAGGCATCTTTTTATACAAACATTTCTTGTTTTGATTTTTAAACCTGAATATTGGCGATTTAAAGAATATTAAACAAGGCCCAAAAAAACTTTTAAAATTTAAGATTCTAATAAGTTTATTATGTGAGGTAAATTTGCCAACTTATCCAATTCTCTTAAATTGAAAAATATGCTATAATATTGACTGGTGAATTGATTCCCAAGTTTTAACACAATAACGGCATTGTACAATATTGACAGTATATTGGTGGATTCTTAACAAATTCCCGTTCATTATAGAAAATGAAAATGCTAGAAATTCGAAAATAAATTTGGCGAATTTGTCATTCGAAAACCAAACTGCAATTTTAACTAAACTCCTTGTTGAAATTAACATGCATAAGAAGCTTATTAGTTACTATTTTTATAATATCCAAAAACTCAGCTTCTTTAATTATTACTTAAAAAATTTAATAATAATTGATTGATTAGATCATTGTTACTATAAAGTTGAAAAGGCCTGAGGAGGTGTGTCAAACCAATATAGATTAAAATTATAGAAAAACATTTTAATTCAATAAAATATGCTTTTTTTTGTATATATGAGTGTGTTTGTATACGTGTGGAAAAGTAAAATGTTATCAGGAAATGAAATTATTCAGAAATAATTAAAATGTGACAAATAGTTGTAACCTGTAATAAAAAAAATATTTTTAATGATTAACAGATTTAGATTTTGTTATTTTTCTATACAAGTTCTTGATAATTTACTAGTTACATTATTTAATTTTCTAGACAATATGAAATTGAAAAAAAAACATGTTTATTTTACTGAGAATAGAAAAAAAATAATATGCAATTTTTCTTTAACCTTTTATTGATGAACAAACCCAATATAAATTGTACACTGTTTAGTGACTTTTTTTTGTAATAATGATTAATTACTAATAACAAACTAATAAAACTATTTTTTTTATATTTTTTAATAAGAAACGCAAAATACATTGTCTATCGGACTGATATGCAAAATATTTTTTCACCAATGTTAAAGATCCGTAAATATTAAAAGAATTAGGGTTCTTAATTCTTAATTAGGGGAATCAGGGAAATTTAATTTTTCAATTAAGAAATTTCCTTTTTGATTTTGAGTTGATAAATTTTGCCTTTTAACAGAATAACCATAAAAATCCCTACTTCAAGTTACCAGAAAATTTGACAAGATATTTGAATATTAAATATGTATGTAATTTTTGTAATTATTCAATGAATAATTACAAAATTCTTTATATGTCCCTGTACCGTATATACATTCACATACGAATAAATCAGAAAAAAAAAATAATTATTTTTTGATGTTACATAATTAGTAATCCTTTTATCTAAAGAAATTTCCAGTATATAGTTGTAAATTTCTTTATTTCTTGTTCTCTTTTAGGTAAATAAAATGAAAATCTTTATATTTTATAATTATAATTGCAAATTTGTTTTCATAATTTTATTCAACAGGAATTATTTATGGTATATATAAGATGATACATTAGAATATTTCATTTTTGTGATTTAGAATACAAGGACAGTACGGTTTTAAGTATAAGATTTGAAAATTATAAGTGAATTGATATTTTATATTAATATTAATATTATATAAAATTTGATTTCAATTTCTGAATATTATGCCTATAAGACGTTTGTAAATGAAATATAATTACATTTAATTATCATTTCGAATTACAATAAGCATGTGAAGAAATATAAAATAGAATCTAATTTCAATTTAATTTATTCAGCAAACGAATTAAAATTGCTAAATTTAGTAAATTGCAGGCTATATTTGGAAAATACTTATTTGTAATTCTCTTGGAAAATTTGATGAACTACATTTGTTTATTCTATAAGCAGCTATATTTAAAATACAGGCAGTATGTACATAGATATGTATATAAAAACAATTTCGTACATATCTATTTCACTTTCATTTTTACTGGCAAATAATGTTCAATCAAAAGAAATATTAATTTCTAATCTAATTAACGTTGTATTGCTGAATATCGCCGGATGAGTTCTAATTTGCTTCACATGCCATTTTTGAAAATTTTTACTTAAGAGTGGTTTTATAGATTTTGACGGGGGCTTTATTACGTGCCACAACCCCATTTTTTCTATCTTCCTTAGTTTGTAAGATATTCGGTGTCGTTTTTGCCCCATAAACCATAAATTTTACAGATTTCTTTGTGCTTATTTGCTTCATAAACCATTTTCAATAATTTCTTTATGTAAATGTTAGTGTGCAAAGAGGTTAGTAAGTACTAACAAGGTCATTGAATATGTAAAAATGACCAATTTCATATAAAAATGACCAACTTAAAAAAAAATTTAACTTTTTCGAAAAATCTAGACTTGGGAAGATGATATTCTATTCCGTTGTACATAAATAATTAATAACATTTTTTTTTTCATTAAGATTCAAGCTTTCTTTTTCAAATTTCTCAAATTCCTGTTATGGTGCCGAATGGAGCAAATTAAAACTCATCCGACGATATGTACATTGGAAGTTGGAATTTGTTTCTGATATTATTAACAGTTTCTTTATTTAACATATTAAAATTTTTCTTGTATTTTTCAATTAAAGGTACGGAATATATGAAAAAGTTTTAAAAATTTAATTTGTCTATTAATATAATTTTGTTAAGTATTTTTCAAAGAATTTATATTTTTTAACATATTCAGATTAACTTTGAACCTTTTTTTGGATTATTTTTAACTTATGGTTTTTAATCTTTTACATAACATTTCCCATATATACGTATACGTAAACATAAAATTTTGTTGTACAAGAGTATTTATTATTTAAAATATGCATTTAAAAAAAAAAAGGAAAAATAGCCCAAAATTTTAATTTTTATTTTAATTGAATAATAATATTCTTGAGGTGATGGTAAAAATACATATATAACATTGCATACTTATAGGGTATTTTCCATATTTAAGACATTATTCATGATTGCAACATAAATTTTATATTGAATACAATTATATAAAATAAAATTTAATATTTATTTTTAAAGTAAATTAAAAATATTTCTCATATAATCATTTTTCAATTGTAAATTTTAATATGAATATTTAAATTAAGTATAAATTTGGAAAATACGAGTAGCTAGTTATTGAATAAAATATTCAAATACAAAATTAAATCAGTTTGAAATGATGAAAGGAATTTAATTTTAGAATAAAATTGTATATAATGAACAAAATTTTGAAATTTTGATATTTTAATTAAATATGTAATTAGTTGTTTTAGAATTGTTTTTGTATTGGAAATCTAAAATTAAATGTTTGATTATGAAAATTATAATTTAATTGTAAATTTAATAGCTATGTATCAAAATTTTTAAATTAATAAACATTTTTATTAAAATTATTATTAATTATTGAAATAATGTTTTATTAATTAATATACATCATACATAAAATTTAATGAAATTAAAAAGATTTATTAAATTTGAATTAAAATTTAAAATAATTAAAATTAATACTTAAAATTAATTTTATCATTTAATTTTTTAAGATCAAATAATAACAATTAATAATTTTAAGTAATAATTTCAACTTCCATTAATATTCATCTAGATTCATGTTATATTTAGTAATTTAAAATTTAAGGAATATTTTAAAATAAAAATTCGAATTATACGCTACTTACCCTTTTTAAAATCTGGTTTTTTTTTCCAAGTCTTCCGGTGAGGTTATGAATTCTTCTTATAACCTTTGAAATAAAATTATTTTTCTGATGCAATATTTTTAATTTTTTTACAAATTTTTTTAAATATTCAATTGTTTTTCAATATATAAAAAATATATCATATATTTTTTTAATATATATATATATATATTATTTTTTTTTGGATATTAAAATGCACTTTTTGAAAAAATAATAATTAAATTTTTATTATTTTAATTTTTATTTCAATTGTTTTTAAATATTTAAATTAAATATTACTGGATTTTGTATTATAATTAATATTTGTCCTTCTAGTTTTTCCTTTATTAATTTTCTTTAATTTTTATATATATATATACATATATATTTATTAAAAAGTATTATGGTATTAGAAATTTAAATGCTTTTTCAAACACTGTTAAATCATAAATGAACTTATCAGCATCAAAACATCTCCTTTTATAGTCAACAGGTGTGTCCATTAATTACATATATCTATATATTATACATATATATGTATTTGTACATTTATATTTTATGTTATTTTTGAATGGTATAGAAATAAAATTCCAATAATTTTTTTTTTTAAGGAATCAAATAAGTAAAAGAAATCAAAAATGAAAGTTATGAAAGAAAAAAGTTATTTTTTTTGTTTTTCTTTTCATATAATTAATGAAAAGTTTGTATAAATGTGTATAACACTTGTAAATTATTTAAAAAAATGTTATTAAAGGAATAAAAAAATCTAATTGCTATATATAATTTTTTATGTAATTTTGTATGTATTTTTGTATATAATTATGTGTAATTTGTACTTTTATATAGATTTATATTTAAATAAATAGAAAATATATTTATGTATGTATTGGTAAAGTAAAAATTTTTTACTGTTATAATTCTAATTTACAATTCACACAGACGCAAAGAATACTGTTATTTTATTAAATTATTTTTTTTTTTTTATTTCTTTCGTTCACTTTATACCGTTTAGTATAGATATTGTAAAAACATAAATGTTAGTCGTAGGTAATTTTTAGCTCTTTTAAGAGAATTTTTATTCTTTTTTTTTATTTTATTTGATTAAAATTTGAAATAACCGCCTTTTACTGCATTCTTAATTACGGTATATTAATTAAACAAAATTTATTCAAATATATTTGCACGTATGTATTTTTATTTATTAATATATGTATATATGAATATGTATAATTTCCTTTTATTTTATTCTTTTGATTATTATATATATATTTAAATTTTTTGAGTAGGTTTCTTCTTTAAATGATAGTCAGAATCGAACTGAGCTTTAAATGTCGGTTGTACATCATTAATATAAAATTTGATGATTATATTAAAATAATAAATTTATGTCGCAATAATTATAATAAAATAAAAAGAAAATAAAAAAAATAATCATAATTTTCCTTATCAGAAGAATTCAAATTAATGTATCAATTTAATGTATGTGTGGGTATGTGTGTGTGTTTAAAAAAATGAATTTAAAAAATTAATTTTATAATTATAAAGCATAAATTTTATATTATTTTTTTTTATTCGTACTACAAGTATAACACTTTGTATACATACATAATATACATTAGACATTAATAAAATGGCATGAAAGTTTAAAGCGGATATTATGGTTTTTGTTAAAGACCTTGCCCTCCAAATTACAATTCGCAATGTTACTTACTATTTCTTTTATAACAATTAAATATTATACATACAAGAGATTTATACATGATTACCTATAATCAACACAATACATATAATGATTATCTATACAAATATTAGAATTAAATTAAAATTATATTTAAAATTTTCATATTAATCACAATTCATAATTGTAATTTTGATAAAATAAAAAATAAAATAATTGGAAAAAATTTTAAATAAATTGAAAGCAAAATTTATTTCATCAGCATTTTATACATATTTGAATAAATGATGAAATCCTTAATATTTTGTTAATCTTAGACAAAAAGTATGTCTGAATAAGGGGAGCAATATTTATTAGAGACACTAATTTCTTTGATTTTTTAAATTTTCTAGAAATTTTTAAGTCTGTAAGTAGAATTTCCAAGTAAGATATTCCATAAATGCATTTTTTTTATATTTAACCTTCAATTTTTGCTCCACAATATTTTTGTGAAAGAATTTATTTTTAGTAGATCGATTTTACTTCTACTTTTCATGTGTAGATTGATTTGCTTCTTATATGCGTGGGTATATTAAAATATTAAAAATATAACATAGATTTAACTGTAAACTGAAATGTATTCGAAAGTATTACAATGTATTAAAATTAATGTAAAATATAAAAATATTTAGCAATTTAACCAGTAATTTTAGCAGTCATTAACCAGTGTACCAATGAAGTTTGTTTAAGAAGGAAGAGAAGTTTGATAAAGAAAATAGTTTAATTAGAATAATATAAAATGGAAACATCAGATAAAATACTTTGAATTTTACAATTTGGTTTATAATATCCTACTAAAGTTACTAAAAATTTACTCCTCTTTTATTTTTTAAATAACAATAGAATAATTTATAGTATAGTAAGTCAAGTACGAATAAACGTTTGCTATTGGTACATGAAAATCGTAGTTTTAAAACAAGATTTTCATTTAATAAGAGGTTCAAGCCACCATTATTGTAATAATTTAAAATTAAGAATGTTCAGAGAACATTGAATTTCTGAACAAATGTTTTCAATTTTTCCAATGCGACGGCAACTCTGAAATATTTTTGAATTAGAGAGTTCAGGTCATATTTGTTTTCAAGTAAAGAACTTTAATCGAATAGAATTAGTGTTGGAAGATATGGTAATTTTTGGTTAATTCTAGACCTACATTATAATTATTAACACTTTATTTCTTCAATATAAAACATGTGTATATAAAGGTATATATAGCATGAAATTTTTGTTTACATAAGATGCCCTTTTAATCAAATAAATAATATAATATATAAACGCATATACTCTAATAATAAAAATAGCAACCTGTTATTCAGAAAACTAAACACTTTCTTTTTACAAGACACGTGGTTTTGTACATATATAAAAAAAACACACACACACTTTTATACGAATACAAGTTTTTTTTTTTAAATAAAAATTTGTTTCCTTTAATCGTAATCTCTTCCCTTAGGTATGTACATAAGGTTGGTGCTATATTTAAAATATTGAAAAATTTTACATAATTTTTAATATATCCTTAAGTTATTATTGAAAAAAAATTACAACTTAAGAGAGGATCAAATTTAACTATGGAAAATAACTGATGTGAATAAATGATAAAGGTAAAATATAAATTTTTAGTACTTTTGGAAAATATTTTATGTTAGCTACTTTAAATCTAAAATCAATTAGTACTAAAGGTACTCATTAAAATTAACATAGTATACTATTAGCAATTAGTACTATTTTAATTTGATTAGTACATATATTTAGGGATTAATTAAATTTAAAGAAAGCTCAGATTGTACTGTACAGATTTAACATACAATTTTAGAACACTATATTTTGCAATATATTTAGTTGAATGTAGAATAATATTTTTATGTGCAGTCAAAATCTAGATTCAATTCTTGAATATAAAAATAGTAGAAATCCTTTCTTGTGTACTCATGTTCCACGCATTTTTAAAATTTATTGGTTATAGTACAATGCATAAAATAAATTTAGTTAAAATTAAAAATGCTAATTAATTAAAAGTACGTATTAATGTTATTTTTTGACGTACAAAAATGTATCATACATGCGTACATAAAAATAAAATTCTTATCTATATACATAAAATGGATAAAGAATGGGAGAAACATTTACATATAATAAAATCGTTTGCTACGTATGAAAAAATGTTCCTATAAACAGGTGGAAAATAGCCCTTAAGATAAATAACTTTTATAGCTATTATTAATTCATTGAAAATATCTAAAAATAATAAAACCTTCTTGAATTAAAATTGTTGGTAAAAGCCTTACGTACTTATACGCATTAATTTTGTTTGTTTGTTACATATTTTATATGTACATAAAATCCTTTGAGGCGATATGTTGAACTTTTAAAAAGCTCTTCACATAATCTACAAACGGAATTTTAGTACTATAATAGATACAGATTTGTTAAAATTTCATATTTAATGAATTTCACAATGAATGAAATGTTAAAACATGTTTCTTTTCTGTTATTTCCGGAATTATAATTCCAGTTAACGAAATTTTTCATATTATGCATGCCTGTGCTGTCCAAAAAATTGGTTTCTATTAAAATAAAATAAGAGTTATTCAGTCAATCCATTAGGTTATTGATACAGTTTGAAATTCTTGGAATATTTTATTCTTTTTTCTCCTATAGAGCACATCGCAAGAGCATGGCATTAATCACAAAGCAACAATGAAAAAAAAAATGTATTATTGCTTCCATTTATGTTTAACGCTAAAGTATGTATCAAGAAGAACGCTAAGGTAAAAACGATAATTCATAGAAAAAATGCTCTGTTCATCGATTGTAAGGTCATTTTACTTAAAAATTTTTTTGATACAAATTTTTTTTTTTGAATCCTTTAATTAAAAAAAAAATATCAAACTGTTTAAAGTCTGCAAACGTTTAGTTCTAAGAAAGTTACATGTTAAAATTCGCTTTAGTATTGGTATACATCCGTACGAACGTATGTTTGAAGGGTATACTAAATTTGCCTTACTGTTTGTAATGCTAAAAAATAATGGTCTGAGATATAGACATAAGTGTACGTTTTTGATTAACGTCGAATTTTGAGTCGATTTAACCATGTCCGTCCGTTCGCCTGTCCATCTTAACAATAACTCAAAGTTTAATTGAGCTAAGCTCAACTTCACAAATGATTCTAACCAAATTTTCTCAAATGATGGGTTTCGAGGCAGTGGTTTGGATACTGATCCTACAACTTTATAAGATATTTGGTTGGTCTCACAAAGTATTGACGTTATAATATCGAGATTTCGCACAGACGAATGTTATTTGTGACAACTTCAGCAGTTATTTGGTCATATCTTAGAAATTACTTATGTAATATCAGTACTATACGTACTGATATTTCGTATAAGCCAATATAGTAACATTGGCCACTATTTTCGGTAAAAGCTTTTGTTGAGATATCATGGACGCTTATGAATAGGCAAAAGTTATTTGGCATTACCTGAGAAATTGTTGAAGTTATAATATAGATTTTGTGCAAACAAGTACATTATTGGGGCTATTATATTTGATAGAACTAGTTAAAAATTTTTAAATATTGATGGTAGCTGCTACAAATCTTGCTGTAACTATGCAGTGCTGAAATTTTTCATATGTTAATATGGCCATTATTTTTAGTAAAAATCTTTTAAATGGTATGAACTCATGTAATAATTGGCATATTTTAATTGGCATGTAATAATTGACATACAAATTTCAAAATCATTTATTTGTACGGGTGTCATAAAGTTAACACGGTCAACTGTATACCTATAGTTTCGTTTTTTTTATAGAAATAATCACTTGCATAATTTAATATTGGCATAATTCTTGTTAATTTATTTTTTTTAAATGTAAGGAAGTTAAGTATGTACGCATATGTATATGATGTTCTGTATACAAACT